GAAAAGAATTTCCTATTATTCAAAAGTAGAATGTGTATGTTATATGACTCTACTTGTTGTAAGCTGTGAAGAATTCAACCTATGCAATGGATTAAACTTCCACAAAACCCTTTTTAAGTACTTGGTTTTGCTAAGAGAAGACATTGATCAATTTGCAAATCTTGTAAGTACACATTCTTAGGGCATTTAAATTCATTTCAAGGAAATTTTGCTCTCCAGTTCTTGAAATGGTTGTTGCTCATATTTTTAACGCAAGTGTTTTAAATTTATGAAGACCGATTACAACTCTACTATCAAAATGTCAATAATCCACATCTTCTCATGAAACAACTTTGAACCCAAAATACACAAAACTATCATTTGATGCCCCAAATGATACCCCATTTGTCTTTTGTTGCCCCAATGACAATGGTTTGATGGTAAAAGGTGATATGAATTATGTTGTAACTTGTAAGCACTTTGTGGTTAATTTGATAAATAACTTCAATGGGTTTTACCCAGCATTAACATCACCTTACCCGATGGGTGATATCTTTATGCATGATTAGCATAACTATTTAGATGAAAATTTTAGAAGTTTTTTTTTTTTTTTAACTAACTTCATTGCATCTTGATTATTTCGTAACCAAGTCAAGTTGGAAGCTGTTTTGTTTTTTCGTTTACAAAATTTAAATTCAAAATTTTATTTAAGAGAAATTGATTTCTTTTTAATTGAACCAATAGGTGGTTTGTAATTTTTTTTTTATCCATATCATATTGAATTGTAAATAAAAATTAATAAATAAAAAAATTACTTCCAATATCAAAATATTCATTTCTATCTGTATTTTTTTTTTTTAAACAAGTTACAATTTGGGAGTGGGGAGATTCAAAATCCAAACCTTAAGTTAAGAATGCATCTATAACATTATTTATAATCATCGGAACAAGAAAATAAGGTGCCTATCTATATTAATTTAAATTATGTAATTTAGGATAATTTACCTACAGTCAGATATTAAAAAGCATGATAAGAAAGCATTGTGGACATATTGTGTTTCATGGACCGATGGACCTAAGGCACACCTGATCACACCATGCGGCCCAGATCATTCCTCCGAAACCTTTCGCAGGGTTTTTTTTCTATATAAACCCAACCCCCAACCTCCGCCCCTGTCACCTGATTTCAAATTCTAGGGTTAGGGTTTCGACAGATCTTCGATTTCAAATCTCTGTTGATCTGTTGTCTCGTTTTTTTTTCTTATTATTAGTTTGATTTTCATGGAAGCTACATGTTCCAAGGGAAGGGTGAGTGAATCGATACCCTTGATCTTGTCTTGCCAAAGCGGCTGTAGCTAGATCGAACTGCGGAGAAGCTAACTGGCCGGTTGTCCTAAGAGATTTCCTGGAAA